CCAGGCTGGCCTCGAACTCACAGAGATCCACCTGGCTCTGCCTCCCGAGTGCTGGGATTAAAGGCGTGCGCCACCACCGCCCGGCTAAAGCTGTGTTTTTAAGTAAAAGATTTAACTATGTAATTGACCAAGATTTTTTTTCTCTCATATGCAAACATAAACTTCAGTATTCTGGACCCTCATACTACCAGTACATTTTCTGAGTTTAAAAAAAAAATATGGTGCTGGAGAGATGGCTCAGAGGTTAAGAGCACTGGCTGCTCTTCCAAAGGTCCTGAGTTCAATTACCAGCAACCACATGGTGGCTCACAACCATCTGTAATGAGATCTGGCGCCCTCTTCTGGCCGGCAGGGATACATGCAGGCAGAATACTGTGTACATAATAAATAAATAAATCTTTAATTTAAAAAAAATGTAAGAACTAGGGGAGGCAATGGTAAAAGCCCATCTTGGCATACAAGAGACCCTGCACAGCTAGGTCTACTATTTTGTTCTTCCCATGGGCACCTTTGGAAACAGTCATATCTATAACCCAGTAAACTGAATTTATAAATATACTAAAATGCCAGTGATTTTAATTAAGTAGAAGTAAAGGCTAGAATAATACTGAGAAAAAATGTATACAGTTACATTATACAAATATAAACCACTAATTTTCCTTAGTGCAGATTCTTTGTCAAGATCTATTTTTCTGAATAACAATTACAAATGCACTATTTTCAACTTGAAATGGGCTTTCACTTTTGAGTGGTCCCTTTGTTCAGCACTAATTTTTCTTTATTGAATCTGTTGCCATGCCCCATACTTTGTTAGTTCCTCTTCTCCCCAGTCCCCAATGGTTCTCTAGATTTTCAAGTCCAAGAAAATAAGAACTTTCTCAATTTTGCTCATCTAGCTCATGAGGAAAAAAGATCCCCAGCTTTACTCCATGAGTAAAGGAGACGTTTCTTGTCTGTCCCTACCCCCTTTCAGTACACTCCTTCCTAGTACACGTGCTTTTTCAACTTTCCTCTGCACTAAGAATAATTTCATTCTCAGGCTACAAAAAGGACTAGATGTAGTGTGGCAAGTTTAAGATATCAAACAGAGCAGACAAGAATCAATTTAGATCTGTTTTCAAAACCACCTGTCTTCTTAAGGAAAGACAAACCCTACTACCATGAAATTTCCTAGATATTCATTCACCATGCTAAGCTTCTGACATGGCTCATATGTAAAACTAACTGGAAAGCTTATACACTCCTAAACTAGCAATTGCATTGGCTTAACTACTGTTGAACTGAGAGATGCTTTAGTAAGCTAATGGTGTTAGATATTCAAGAATGAATGGCTACTCTCTTGATTCTACTTCGATGTAGTAAAAGAGAAAATAATTTATATTTAATGAAAAGCAAATATAAGGAAGTGTGATTTCAAGTTTATCACCTTACTGAAATTTTTAAACACCATACTCTCTGTGTTACAAAATTGTATATTTTGTCTCATGTTTTATAAACAATGGTCCTTTTTACTGACCCTAACTGAATTCTGTGGCAAAGCATGCAAACTTTTTATGCTCAACATTGAAAGTCTATTCTTTGAGTTTAAGCTCCAAAGGGTCACACAATATGGCAAACTCACTAAGATCTATTTTGGGTAATGAATTTTAAAAATAGAAGGATTGAAAACAGTTCATGAAGCACCTTTTAGATGACAGGGCTCATGGTATAGTTCTATTTTATAAAATTTGTAAATTAATAAGAACATCTACTGATTTTCTTTTTGTGGAAATGCATTTCTAATTATTTCTATTATTTTAATTATATGTAGGCATGTGTCTCTGCATATGGGTATGTACATGAGTAAAAGTGCCTGCAGAGGCCAGAGGTCTCAGCTTCCCCTGGAGCTGGAATAACAACAGACAGTTGTGAGCCACCTGATGTGTGTGTATTGGGGACTGAACCCAGGGCCTCTGGATGAACAACAGCAAGTGCTCTTAAGCACTGAGCCATCTCTCCAGCCTTCTATTGATTTTCTTTAACATTAACTTAGTAATGAGTAGCAAGAGCTTTATGGCTACTCCAGATGGTTAGTGTATCACATGGACAAAAGCTGAAAGTGCTTTACCCTGTGCTGACCCTTTATTTTAGCAAATTCTACTCAGGTTTTTACCATCTGTGTGTGGAGAAACAATGTGAATTCTCAAACAGCAGCATTCTTCCACCAAAAAATGTATAATATTAACTACATGCCCATTTTCCTCTTCTGAAAAATGGAGTGAAGAGCTTTATAATAAATAGTCACTATCCTTGATCATTTATCATTTCATATATCTTTAGTATCTTTCCACAGAAATTTAGTCTTATTTATTTTTACAGTTATGTTAGCAATTGTAGGTGTGACTGTGTTGTAATTTTCTTCACTTGTTTCCCGCTAATGGACATTTGGGTAAATTCCAGGGGCTAAATATTATGCTGAGCCTATATGTCTTGGTGCATATACATACATACATACATACATACATACATATATATACATACATACATACACACACACACACATATATATATACATTTCTCAGTTGGATAAAATTCTTAGATGTGCAACTAATGGGACAGGAAGTTTCATCATGAAATAGATACCACAAAACCATTCCTTCAAAATGAAACACAAGATAGTGTTTACAAGCAGTAACAATAATATCTCTTATTGCTGCAAGAAGGAAAAATTTCAAAAAAGGTTAGTTGGTATTTTAAGGTATTTTAATTTGTATTCCCTTAGTAAAGACTGTTTTTGTTTTTTTCATCCCCAACTTAGTCATGTCCTCTGCTCTTTCCTACTGGGCTACTCATCTATGTCTATTGTTTTTTCCTTCAAAATAAGTGTAGTAACTTTTTTATTACATCTTATAAATGCTACTCCAAAACTTGTTAACTATAAGATCCTAAGGACAAATTACTTTCTCTGGCATCTAATTATACTTTTTAAATGAAACAACAGAAAGTTAGCTTAGACTTATTCTAGTGTAGCTGTATTTGTCTTCAAATACCCTAAATTTAACCAGTTTTCTAGAAAATGGTTTCTTAGAGTCAGAACTTCAAACAATCTCTTCAAGACTAACAGTGTAAGAACAAAAAGTCTATCTATAAGAAAAGGAAGTCTGTTTATGTAAATCTAGTCACTTTATTCTTCCTTTAAGAAATGATCACATCCTAAAGTGGATGAGGAAATCGGCAGAAAATTCAATAGTGTTCTGCCTGCCTGCAGGGTAGATTCAATCTTGTTTCCACAGAAAAACTCAATTACCTTAATAGAAATGAACAGAGGTAGTTGTTGTTCAGGAAATTCGATTATTCAGTGACATCCCATAAGGTTTTCTGTGGCTTAGGTTCTAAAGGCACCCATAGATTATCTCCCTAGTCGCTAGTTATCAGGCAAAGGAAATTTGTTTGTATCAATCACAGGGGTGGTTTTTTTTATAGCCATTTATGTGTTCTTTAACATATGTTTTTCTTCACAATTTTAAAGTTTTTCTACTCATTTGCATTTCTGACTAAGTTTCAGCCATTATGTATACTGAATACTACATATACTATTGAAAAGATATAACCATTTATAAATGAAAATAAAATTTTTAGTTCAAGGTATTAAATTATGTCAGGGTTTCTCACCTTGAAAACAACTGACTTTTGGGGCTGGATAATTCTTTGGTGGGTGTGCCTGGGCAGAATAAATAAGATATTTAGCAGTGTCTTTGGTCTCTACTTAGTAGATGCCAGTCAAAATACACAACAAGGAATTTGTCTGAGCATGCATAGCCCAATGTACCCTGGAAGTGCACGAATGCCCCACCTCATTCCCAGGAGAATCAATGAGTTAATCTAATTGGCTCTGCTTGGTGGGTAAGACTATATTCTAGTGTGTTGGCCTGTATTTATTAATTTTTCTACTCTGAGAATTAATTTTTTAAGCACAGAGGAACAAAACAAATTATAATGTCAGCAGGGGAATAACTCAAACCTAAAATTTTCATCAAGTACTGTTTAATGAAAAAAAAATACCATTGACCACTTGGAATATGCTTTTAGTAGGTCCTAACCCTAGGATCATGAAATCAATTATTAAGAATAGCATTAAAAAAAGAAAAATAGAATAGAATATAAAACTTGAGGGAACAAAGCAAGAAATGAGACTATACAATAATTTTTGTACTTTATATGCATTATGATATAACACTGCATTTACTACTATGGGTTTTAGTGAAAAAAATCATTCCAAGATCAACTTTGCAATAATTGGCTATTTAAATTACTCCAGCTTTTAATGATTAGGAAAAGCCAAGTGGAGCCAGGGATACAGGTTTACAGTGACAGAGGGCTTGCCTAGCATGGCGACTACCCGGAGTTCTCGCCCCAGGCACTGCAAAAACAAACAAGAAACCAAGAGCTGCTTCGCCATGAGTTAGAAAAGAAACAACAAGGTGTGTGTGGGGGGGCGGCACGGGGGGCGGGGTTCAAAATTACAAAGAACAAACTAAAACTCCATAGAACAAAATGATTCCAACCCAGAAAGCAGACACCAATGCCACTAGTCATCCTGGATGGCACTAAAAGTAAAGCTAAAGGAGACTGATTCTGCCTTGTGTATCTGTCCGCTTCTAGACTGTCTATTTTAAGCAGCAATAAAACCTCATTTCTCCAGAATCTGTTCTAGAAGACCCTGAAACTGCATTTAAAACAATCTTGCATTAAGAACTATAGCCTTAACTTTTAATGTAATTAAAGAAACAGTTTAAGCCTAAAAGTTATATAACATGAAAGAATGGTAATTACAAAAGAATTACAGGGGTTTTTTGCTTCTTAAAGCAAATCAGAAAAATATTTATAACAACGTGTTGTGCTGTTAAATGACATTATATATTTGAAAAGATCTATGCTTTTAAAACAATTTTAGATATTCTTGAGTCTCACTACATGCCTAAATATTAATTAGCAAAGTTTAATTTTTTTTGAAAAACTTAAATCTTCATAATGTTATAAGATACTTTACAAAATAATTATTTGCTTGATATTATTATAAAAATAATAATAAAAACCTCATTTTTTTTTTTTTTGGTTTTTCGAGACAGGGTTTCTCTGTGTAGCTTTGTGCCTTTCCTGGAACTCACTTGGTAGCTCAGGCTGGCCTCGAACTCACAGAGATCCGCCTGGCTCTGCCTTCTGAGTGCTGGATTAAAGGCGTGCACCACCACCGCCCGGCAAAACCTCATTTCTTTAAAGAAATCACTTTTCTCTCAAGATTCTTACCTTTCCATTTTTATGCAGTCCCACAGATTAATGATTACTTTCACAAAGACATAGCATACTATTAAGATATTTCATGCAGGCCTCAGCACTAAAACAAATCAATTTTAGCAGCAGTAATTCTTCATAGACTACTGCTTTCTAGACGAGACAGACAAACATCTGCAAATCCAGTCAATCTATTCATAAAGTGGATCATCTTCAAGTAGAAGCAAATTCATGAGTACAAGTGCTTGCTTTTGGCACCTCACTTTTCCATTTCATTGATTACTTTAGTGAGAAACAATACCAACAGCAAACAAAGCTCAAAAGAAAAAAATCCCCAGAGATTTCAAAATGATGCTGTTAGTATAAAAAAGAAAGATTGACACATCTCAAAGCGCTGATCAACACCATCATGCATCTACCTCTAGGGTTATAACAAGCCCAATGCCTAACATTTAACTATTTGATCTTCACAGATCAAGCAAAGACTTGAAATCATCTCACGTGCAACAGTCTCTGCATAGTGCCATTTTATCCATGCCACAAAAATGGTAAATTTAGTAGTTACCAATAAATAAGTTGGGGATCAAAGGAACTAAAGTCTTAGACTGCTCTTTATCATAAGATATCCTCAGACAAACCTCCCCATTCTTCATTCTGGCTCTATAAAATTAAGGAGCAGAGAAAAACTGGTAAGTGCCTGACTTCACAGGGGAAAAAAGCCATACTATTATTTCCTTTGTCATTATCAATATATGTGTTTATAAAATAAATTCAACTACATGATACCTCACCTTGCCACCCAAAAACTAGGTATGTGGGGAGGGAAATGTGCTAAGCATTATAAAGAATATAATTTCATTAATCTTAGCATGTCATATCTTAATTTAAAAATCAACTTTAGTACCAGTGGCATGTTGAGATGACATGTTTTAAATTCTAACAGTCAAATATCGAAAATTGGATAATGGGTCAATTTCTGGGCTTACTCACCCAAAGCTAATTATGAATTCATGCAACCAAAAGGTATAAACACAGAATTTGTCTACAAATGTCAAATATGAAAAATATACCATTAAATCACAATGTTTACTAATATTTTGGCAGTTATTATTCAGATATACATTTGTTTTGTTCTTATTACTAATTGTAGCATAACAGCAGAAAATCTACTTTAACCACTGACATCTGTTCTGCTTGCCCATAAAATGAAAGACTACCTACATTACATACTTAAATAAGCTGGGCAAAAGCAAAATTTTAACAAATTTTCTGAATAGAAATAAGAATAGAAATTTATATTATTATATATATTCTATAAGAATAGAAATACATATTTCACAAATTATAAAAAGATCTAAAATCAAAATTATTCTAATTTGTATATACTATTCAGCCAACAGATAAACTTCATTGTTAATTCAAAATTATCTTTAGTGCTTAAAACAGTCCCAATAAAGATTTTGACACCAAATAGAAAAGTTATAATACATGAAAAATTACATTTCAATTGGATTTTTAGTTCCTTTACTGAAAATTTTAGGATACATTTAGCTAAAATAGCTATCCTTAAACAATTTTAGAAACAAAATCACTTGAGGACACTGACAAAGTGACTACTATATTTCAAACTCTAAGACCTACAAAGCTATTAGAGACCTAGGCATTTTGCTAAATCTTAACAAGGAGACTTTGGAGAAAACACTGTCTCTAAATCTAACTACTGATAATGACAATAGTGAACATACTCAGGCCTAAGAAATTTCTATTTCTTAGTAGTATTCTATAGCACATACTGCTATAATAATGTTTTGTATCCTTTCATAGAGTAAATACACACTATCAAGTAAACATGATATTGTTGTCTGACTATAAAGCATAGAGCAATTTTTTAGCATCATTTAAAAAGCAACTCAGGAACAAGAAGATTATCAGTGCCCTAGGAACACATTAAAAGGAAAAACTGAGCTTTAATATCTTTAAAGATGTCTTAAAAACAACAAAAAATTAACCAGAAAGTGGTGAAAAACAGAAGAAACACCAAGTTCTGATACAAGAGATTATAGTTCTGTAAGAAACATTATTAAGACAAGACACAAATATGAGGAATTTCCAACTCTTAATGTTGGGGCCTATCTTTTTGTTAGTTTTATTTTTTGTTTTTGGCAGGGCCTCAGGTTGCCCAGGCTTCCTTTGAAACTTAACTTTGTAGCCCAGACCTTGAACTGATTCTTCTGTTTCCACTTCCCAAGTGCTAAGAAAATAGGCACATACTACTCTACTTAAGACTGCTGAACTTAGGGCTTCATGCAAGCGAGGGAAACACTCTTCCAACTGAGCTACATCCCCAGCTTGACCTAATCGCTTTTTTAATTGTTGTTGTTTCTCTTAAGTTTGATTAGTAAATAACAAAAAGGAGATGCTAATTTTAAAACCAATATTATAACAGTAGGATATACTTTTGGAGTCAGCATACCTGATGTTAAAATTACAAACCTCCAAAATGACATGTTTGCAGTCAATTAATAAAGCACCATGGCAAACTGTGCACACAAGGAAAAGGTCTGTGCTCATTGGATTACCAAACAGCAGATGGCATGAGGGCTGTCACTGAAGTATTTCAGTTTTGCACTCACCAACCATTTTTCTGATAACTACAACATCATTAAACACACAGTTCATTGTCTCCCATTTAATAGTTGTAGACTTTGAAGCAGGCCCTAGAGCTGACTGATACAGAGGATTCACTAGGAGTTCCCCCCACCACAGAGGCCAAAAGTAAAGAAATTTTAACAGAGAATTCAAGTTATTCTCCCCTTAGTCATTCCTTTAAAGCTAGCCATTTCAGAAATACTAAAAATATTGAGTTTAAAAGTCTATTTTACTAATTAAAACATAATAAATATGTAATAACGAAAGGGTTAAAATAAAATAAGAATACAAATCTACTTTTAACACTTTAGTAAATGAACCCATGGGACATAAATATTCATTTGTGTTATATATATATATATATATATATATATATATATATATATATATATATATATATATATATATATATCACACACAAATACATACATACAGCTATCTTAATAAAAATACCCCATTTTTCTTTACTAAGCCATTTTCTTGGTAAACTCTGTATACTATAACAACCACAATTAGTTCTAAGCCATAACTGAATTTGGTACCTAAGCATCAAACACACGATTAGCTCAGGATGTTGAAGGCAATTAGGAGGGAAAGGGGTTGGTATGGTTCTGGGATATGGAAGTTAAGAATAGAATAGTTTAGACAGAACATGGTTAGTTATTTCAAAAGAACAAAGAGAAGTACAAATTCATTTTAAGTTAATTTTGTTAACACAAAGCCAGAGGGGTCTAGAAAAAGTGTAATTAGAAAACACTAACATTTGCTTGGCTACATTTGTACTTAATGGACATGAGGTGAAAACATGAAGCAATTTGGAAAGGAAATGCCATAATCTCACAGTCAACTCTTAATTATCCACTCTAATGAAACAGGTGGGCGGTTTTTAAGTAATTCAAAACAAAGGATGAGAAGTTCTCAAATGATAATTATTTTTGGCCAATTGTTCCCCCCTTTAATATATATTTACTCATTTACTTATTTTAATTGAAGTAGTCTGTCCTCTAAATCAGCCTGACTGGCAGGCTATCTCCACAAAGAACCATCCATCTATAGATAACTGAGTTGATGTGACTGACACATATTCCAGTCAAACTGTACATGAACACTACATACCAAGCATGCTTTGAAGTAATTTCTGAAACTTGTAGGAATGATGACTGAGATTTCCCTAGCAAAAGCAAAACATGCTAGTTTCTTTTCAGGAGCCTAAGTAGCTTACCTCCTGCAGGAGATCAGCCTGTTCAATTGCTTTAAGGACATTTTTCTTGGACGTTTCCTGAACTTCTCCTCCCAAAAGAAATTCATCCAAAATAAAATAGGCCTTCTCAAAATTAAAGATGATATCAAGTTCACACACCTGGAAAGCAAAAGCAAAATGAAACCAAACAAAGCCTGTTAAAACTTAAGTCAAAGATGCTTATTCACTACTAGGTAGTGAATAAATCTGATCAGATTGAATTGATCTTAATTCTTTTCAAAATAGAAATCTTGCTGATTAAGCAACATTGATTTAAGTAAGCTTAATTTTCAGATTTCAAGTACTTGACAACACAATGCCTACAAGTAAGACCTGGCTCTGCACACTCCCTGTGTAGTCAACAATAATTTTCCACTCATAAAAACTGATCTTTAAATACATATTTCTTGAGTAATGTGATTAAACTGCAACAATTCTGAAAGCTATACTTCACACTTACAGAATGCTAGTATCAGCAATAGGACTCTTCTATTTCACGTGTGTGTGTGTGTGTGTGTGTGTGTGTGTGTGTGTGTGTGTGTGTGTGTTTGGTGCAAATGGGTGTTGTTCCTCAGGAGCCATCTACCTGGTTTTCAGAGACAGGGTCTCTCACTGGGACCTAGGCCTCATAGACTAGGCTAGGCTGGCTGGTCTGTGAGCTCCAGAGATCTGTCTCCACCCTCCTTGGAATTAAAAGTGAAAGCTAGGGGCTGGAGAGATGGTTCAGCAATTAAAAGCACTGTCTGCTCTTCGAGGGGACCAAGGTCCAACTCCTAACAACTACATTATACTTCACAGGTACCCATATCTCTACTTCCAGAGGATTTGACATCTTTTGGCCTCCAAGTGTGCAAGTGATGCCACAGACGTGCAGGTTGGCAAAACACCCATACACACAAAATTAAAAAAGCAGCAGCAGCTGCTACAGCAGCTGCAGCAGGAGCCAGCACTGGCTTTTTTTTTTTTTTTTTTTTTTTTGGTTTTTCGAGACAGGGTTTCTCTGTGTAGCTTTGCGCCTTTCCTGGAGCTCACTTGGTAGCCCAGGCTGGCCTCGAACTCACAGAGATCCGCCTGGCTCTGCCTCCCGAGTGCTGGGATTAAAGGCGTGCGCCACCACCGCCCGGCAAAGATTTATTTATTATGTATACAGAAGAGGGCGCCAGATCTCATTACAGATGGTTGTGAGCCACCATGTGGTTGCTGGGAATTGAACTCAGGACCTCTGGAAGAACACTCGGTGTTCTTAACCTCTGAGCCATCTCTCCAGCCTTGGCTTTTTTATGTACACACAGAGATTTACTTCCGGTTCTCACGCTTGGGTGGTAAGCACTTCACCAAGTGAGCTTTCTATCTAGCCCTTCTCTTTTGCTATTTTAAGACTTATTCTCACCATTTTCATTAAATGAGTAGATCTGTGGAGCCAGAGATTCTGAAAATTGACTAGATACACTGACAAGAAATAAGAGTCAGTGCAGGGCAGTGGTGGCACATACCCTTAATCTCAGCACTCAGGAGGCAGAGGCAGGTGCATCCCTGTGAGTTCAAGGTCAGCCTGGTCTATAGAGTGAGTTCCAGGACAGCCAAGGCTACATAGTGAAACCCTGTTTTGAAAAACCAAATAAACAAACAAACAAATAAATAAATAAATGGTCAGTCCTGTCCTCTCCTCACAGTTAGAATCCCCAAATAATAAGCTTGTTAGAGACAAGATAAAAACTAAATTTACTACTCACGCTGCCAAAATACTTGTCAAGTAATTCCACGTAACGATGGATTATTTCCAGGGTAATCAGTTCATTGTCCTGATCCTCAATAGCACAGCAAAAGTATAGACTGGCATATCTGTAATGAATCAGAATCACAGAAAAATGTTACCCCTATAATCATGTTTTCTAAATATATTTTCCATGTCCTATTGTACAAGTCCTCATGCTTATTACAGTTATTCTTCTTTTAAAACAAATTCTTTTTTTCCTAGATTACAAAAGTAATAAATGTACAAGAGAAATTTTGGAAAACACAGGCAAAAAGAAAAATAACTCAATCATATCTTTTAGAAGGAGTACTTGATCTTGCTCTTCTTTTCAGGTTGCTCTCTGAGCATTTGAAAATATAATTGAGTCAGTTTTTCTTAAGTTTACTTAATTAGAACAAAATATACAGTGTGATTGATTCCAACTATAAGCAAACAGGGGAGAAAATAAGCTGTTAATATATCCCAAATGAAGGGCTTACTGAGGATATTGTCAATGTCTTAGAACATGTTATTAAAGGATGATGTATACACAGAAGTCTCAAATCTGCAAGCCTTTGGTCTCTCAGAGTAGACATTTCAATGTGTTCCCTCATCCTCAGTAAAAGAAACAGGAAAGGCAAAATAGGGCACCATCTCTAAACTAAGCAAAGAACTTCCTCTTGTTCCCATCATAACCTTATTTTGTTTATCTATTTAAAAAGCAAGACTATTACAACTCTCCACCCTCCCCAATCCATGCTCTTCAACAGCATCTGGAGAGTCGGGTACAAATGATATAGGACAGCGATTCTCAACCTTCCAATACCATACCTCATGTTGTGGTGATCTCTAACCATAAAATCATTTTCGTTGCTTCTTCAAAACTGTAATTTTGCTGCTCTTATGAATCGTAATGTAAATATTTTTGGAGAAAGAGGGTTGCCCAAGGCATTGTGACTCACAGGTTGAGAACCACTGGTATAGGAGATTCTTTGAATTATGAAAACTAAAGATTAAAGGAACTGATATAAAAATGACAAACCAAAAAACAGATAAAAATTATTTCTATGAACAGAATAACAAATAATTCTATTTAAGAGATTATTAATAGTAAGTTTGGAGTAAGATTCTTTATTTTCAAACTTCTCCCATGTTACTGTTAGGCATTCTAGTATGTATCTCCTTGCTTCTTTATCCATAATACTTCCTCTTTGTATACAAATAAATGATATTTAAACAATAATTAAATAATTGAAGGTCCTAAATTATACCAATCATGAATTTAAAAATGAGCAGGACTAGGTACTAACCAAAAATATTTTAAAAAGAAAAAAAATGAACTCCTCCAATAGTGTTTTAGGTTTTTTTTTTTTTGTTTTTTGTTTTTTGTCATTCTAGAGATCAAATCCAGAATCTCCTATACCAGTCAGTGGTAACTTCAATCCTCTCAATGTTTTACTTCACTAAGAACGGGGAAAAGGCATCAGCTTAAAAGAACTATTCCTTCCAGGTGAATAGACAGCTATTAGTGTGATAAGAACACTTGTTCAGAAAGCTGGGGAAGGAAGGAAGGAAGGAAGGAAGGAAGGAAGGAAGGAAGGAAGGAAGGAAGGAAGGAAGGAAGGAAGGAAGTACAATAGCAGGTACAACTGAGAGACTCATTCTGAGTGAGGCACTAAGTGGTAGTAAAGGCTTTTGCATATTTTACCATATTTATCTCACAACAGCCCTTCCAAGATAGCATTACTTGCATTTATAGGAGACTCAGGCTTAAGTAACTGGATGAGAACAGAAATTTGACCCTGGAGCCCAAATTTCCTATTAAAAACCACAGCTGTGAAGTGTATTAAAATAATCCTGCACCTGGCTAAAATTAAAATATGCTCAATGCAAATATATTAAGAGCTTTGAAGAAGGGAAAGAGATAAACAATGCCATATAGATTTAGTAAAAGACTACCAAGAGAACCTAGAGTACTCTCTATTTTTAGGATCAAATGGTGCTTTAAAATTCAATATGAGCTCATGTTGTTCTCTTAGTAAAATTAATAATAGACTAGTAAGAAGAGAGGTATGTTTAGTTATTTTTAGCACCATGGATTAGGGCTTACTCTAATTACTGGCACTCAGAACATCTGAAAGTGCCTATTCTTATATTCAAAACACATGACTTCTCTGCAGTCAGCTAAATATCAGCTGACTGTGCGTGAATGTAGCTAAACTATTCTCAATACCCACTGGTATGTCATTAAAATTTCTTTTGTTAGTAAAGAAAATCAATAAGTACCCTTCAACAAATTCTCAAGCTAGTAACATGGGGATGCATTTTAAAATTAATTTTAAAAGACCTAATTCAATTGCCTCTACTATGAAATGTCGCACAAACTAGGCATATAATGTTCTGTCTCTAGTGGATATTCAGGAGCACTTTAAAGATGAGGAAACAAAGGCAAAAATAAATAAATAAATAAAAATATTCAACGTCATAAAACTAGGTAATGGCCCAGATTTTCAACTATATTACCCTTATAGCCCCACTGCTTCCCCCCACAAAGGGAAAATTGTATGCCAAATGCTCAGGGGTGAAGAATGTGGGCAGGACAAATGAACAAAGACGACATAAAAACACATGCTAACAGGAGCAGTGAAAGTGCTAGAGCAGAATTTATTAGGAGCTCAGTAGAAATTCTCTGGCTTAAAAGGTCCTCTCTTCCAGCCGGAACAGGGAAAACACATCACCTGATAATAACAAAATACATGGTTAAGTGGGAAGTAGATGAGGTTTTCAGTATGAAATGGGAGGGAGCCTATAGAAAAACATTATACATTTTGTCTTTTGTATATGAAACATCTCAATAAAGCTATTTTTATTTTTGTTAAGTCCAAATTTTACTTGAAAAAAAATTGATCTAAATATCAGATCAGTTTAGAGTTCTCTTTTATAATTTCTGAAAAAGGTAGCAAGATCAACAGGAACAGGCTGAGTGGCAAGTGTATGAACACCAACCTGCTGTTTCCTTTTTTCCCTCTCAATGGCTCATTCATGGGCTTGTTCTCTTGCTAGGATTTTCCTCCTCCACACGGGGGACTCCTTTCACTATCTAGAAATAAGCTTAAACTTCTCAAGCCTTTTATAAACCCTGTCCAGGATTCCAGAATTCAGGTCTATAGGCAGTTACCACCTCTTCTGTTCTTGGCAAAGCTCTCCCAAATACTCTATAGATGCTGCTTCAATTTCTCTACCTCTCTGCCTTCACCTCATTATATCAAAAATTCCGTCTCTACTCCACTGACAATGTTCTGACAACAGGCAATGCATGGAATGCTCATGATAAGATTCTAGAGTTCTTCACTTTTACTGTATTTCATGTAAGAGCTGACATTAGTGTTCTTACGCTCACATTTCTCTGCTCCTCGACTTTACTGACCTCAAACCAGTCCTTTGCTTCTTTCTCACTTCGATCTGCAGGCCCCCTCTTTAGCCCTTGCACCCGCACCAGAAGGCTGGTGATTTAATACTTTCAGTCTGGGTTTCACCCTCAAGTTCTATGCCTCTGCCCACCATATCTCATCAAAGAGCCAAGTGAACACATATGGCCATATCAACTTGCCCCCAAATTACCTGAATTCTCTAGCTTACCTTTCATCCCAAAGCCAAACTCTGGAAATTGAGGTGACTCCACTTCCTCTTTCCTTGGCTGCTCTCTCTGTTTCTCAGGGTGACTAAGTCTTCTCAAACTTCCCTAGGTAACCGGTTTCCTTTCCAGCTTCTCAGCTCAGGATCCAATTGTCATGCAGTCCCCCACTGATCCTGCAGGTGCCAGTCTCAGCCCCTTTCACTCCCCCAGCCATGGTTCACTGCAGTCTTTTCAGAAATGCAAATCTAATCTTTCTTTCTTTCCACACCTGTTTAAAGCCATTGCCTTCACGCTTAAGACTTAAGTTGTAGCCCCATGCCCATCTCTAGTATGTGACCTTGAGCCAAGTCACCATTAGAAAATTCTCATCTTTTATAAATTGAAATCTGAATGAACAGTAACTGTGTTTTTCAAATCGAAGACCTGTCTCTAGTACAGAAAGCAGAGGCCAATTGAGCCAGGGTACAAGGTTTCTTATTTCTGATTTCACAAAAGCAATCATACTTCTACTTGTTTTAGTCAAGATTCTATCCCTGTGTGCATGTATGTGTGATTGTGTGTGTGTATGTGTGATTGTGTGTGTGTATGTGTGAATGTGTGTGTGTATGTGTGATTGTGTGTGATTGTGTGTGTGTGTGTGTGTGTGTGTGTGTGTGTGTGTATTGTTCTAAGGCATCACTCAGCTCTCAAATGCTATTTTTTTTATGATCTTTCTCAACAAGTACCAAGCCAAACACTGAATAAAAAAATCACCCAAACTGATGAAATTCACTATGAAATAACAATAAGTCTAATGTATTTAAGAATCTTTATGTCCTATAAATGTCATTTCTTCCCTTGCCACCTCCTCCACCACAAAACCCATCCATACTTGGAATGTAGTGAGAGAAAATAGAAGAAAACATTTTTCTTCTGCTTCATTGTGTTCCATACTGTTAGTTCTCTGCACACTCCCCTTACAAGAGTGTTTTATATGCAGACATGCTTTTATCTTAAATTCAGTAAATTATTCTAAAGGGGCCAGAAATGGGGAAGAAATAAGAAACATTCCCTCAAAAAACATTCTGTAAAATAAAAATGTAGAGCATTAAAGAAAAAAAAACTGTGTAAAGAGCTAACCTACAAGTTCTTTTGCAACATCATTTTTTTAAAAAAAAAAAACATTTATCCTTGGGAAAATTATCATAGCTAAGCACAACTCCTCCACAGCAACAAGTCTATTTCAAATTAATAAATACTAATAGCAAAGAGAGCCTGTATATACACAAGTATTTAAACATCTGCATAGTGAAATGGTGTATGTGCCCAGGATCTTTATAAGTAAGATTAATTATAAAAATCAGATAAAAGGAATGCCAAATATCAGTTACTTGATAAATAAATCTTTATAGATTTGTTGAAAGGATTATCACACTATTATTATCTATGCATGCCTGATTTATCGAATTACTTAAAATTTTAAAATACTGACCCTATTAACCCCTATAATGAAATTAATTCATTGAATTTTTTCTAAAATGATGACCAAGCACGAATAATTGTTTGTCTTTAATTATATAATTAATTTTAAAATGATTCCCCTGCTGCTAGCATTTCAGCCTAAGGCAAGCAATCAAAACGGCCATTACTTTTAAGTGGAAAGTTTTCCTTTAAATTTATTCTCATTTAAATATTTGTTAATCCTTGTTTATCGACATAAAAGTCTGCAATTTCCTCATCTGAAATAATGTTAATGTTTGACCATATATTTCACCTTTCTGATAAAAAAATGATACCTTTTATAAACAATCTTCAGATCTCTCCACTCAAGGAAGCTGCACATCTTAGGTTTCCGAGCTAAAACGGTTTGAACAAGTTCTCTTGTGATCTTCTTTTTCTCTTTGTCTGAGAGTGGGACATACCATTTCTGCAGCCGCAGCTTTCCCTGACGACTAAAAAGCAACATAAACTGCATCTGTTAAGAGAAATAAAATCAAGATTACATACAATTACCTAGGATCAACAGTTAAGATCACATGGTTTTCAGAGCTGCTTTGGGGATACAGTAAAGAGCCTGCCAAATGATTAGTAAGCCATCAACATTTCTGTACAGGTTATAATAGCAGGAAATTCTTTTGGAAAGGTCTTCAATACGTAGGTAAGTGTGGAAGAGAGTGTGTGGCAAGAAGAACAGGTGAGAAGCTGGAGGGAAATTTTCAAAGAACAAGAACTCTGATAATTTAAGAAACAATTCTCTACCTGTGCTACACATTCCCCGCTCTACATGCATCAAAAGGAAACTGTAGACATGAGGCAGTTGATTTAGGTACATTTCTAGGAAAGAGGAGACCTACGATTTTTCACCCTGAGGCCGTTCTAGTTCCAGGCTGAATTTCTTGCAGACAGACTGCTTACCACTTAAAGCACTCTCCTCAATTTATGCAAGCATATTTTAAGCAAAACAGAATATTAATCAAAAAGATCTCACAAACAACACATGTTTCTTAACAAAAGCATGATTTTTATGTTTGCGCTTCACTTTTATAAAAATTCCTTATAAATTTTTTTATAAAAATTTCACTTTTATAAAAATCCAACACTGATTTTGGATCAGGAACTGAATTAATGTAATATTACATGAGAGAGAATGCAAGTCTGAAAAGCTTAACCAAAAGTTACTCATATTGAGACACTGCACAGAATATTTAATTAAAAAAACAAAATTTTGAGGCATTTCACAGAAGACTTGTTTTAAAACAAAAAAATACATTTGAATGTATGCTGGATTCTAGTGTGTTTTATACTGAAGCTAATTTGTATGGATTTACTTGGCATTTGCATGTCTGTTGGTCAGGCTTCGTTTTCTAAGGCAGGTATTTTCTAATTCAACTGGTAAAAACGAGCTGTATTGGAAAGCTAATTTGAAGGTAAAATTCGGATAGGTGTTCTTTTTTAACCCCTTTAGGTTCCTTTAACAGCGACAGTGCAAGTAAGACCCCAAGGCAGATTCTTAATATTCACCACCCCACCTTAAATTTGGACACCGGGAAGAGGAATTTACGTAACTAATAGAAAATCAAGCTGGCTCTAAATTTCGACAGGAAATTCACTTCGCAATATCCCAAAGGCATCAAGAAAACATCCGGAAATTTATGGCGTAGCCATTTAACTTTAATAAAGTTAAAATTGGCTATTACCCCCCCTCCACAACACGCTATATAATTCTTTGATAGCAAAGTGCCGCCCATCTAAGTTCTGAAGACAGCGGCATTCGAAGAGGATGACAAGTAGAGAGAGCATCTACTGGACATTGAACGCAAACCGTTACTAGAACTTGCGGAAGGAAACGATTGGGTTTTCTTAAATCTTGGTGACCAGGAGAGAGGGTTTGCTAACGACAGAAGTGCGCTCTAGGCTATCTGTAGCAGGGTCCAGTATCCGCCCTACCACTTTGTAGGACGAAGAAACCACGCATTTCCCTTAAAACAAATGATGTACTAACATGGGACGAAAGCCATGGCACAAGTATTCCTTTTCCCTCGCTTTGATTTTTGCCGCAAATCCCGGAACAAAAATTTCTCCAGATTGGTATTAAAACAAAAACAAAACAAAAAACAACAATGGGCTCAGCCTTGGAATGGGCTCCGGTCCAGCATCCTAGGGGTCCCGCAGTCTTGGACGCCTCCCCTCCTCCCGGGACGACACTCCATCACTGCCCAAAGCCCGGAGAGGTGACCGGCAAGGAGCGGACCAGAGACAATGGCATCCTCTGGCCCGCCAGGGGCGCCAAGTCCTCGGTTGCCGCCACCCCCGGCCCCTCCCCAAAACGCCCCGCCAAACTTGAGGCGATCGGCGAACCACAGGTGCCTCGGGGTCCCCGCGGAACCCAGGACCGGCCCCAGCATCACTGGCGCGCCGCAGAGTAAAGAGCGGGGCGCCACCGCCGCCAGAAGTGAGTTTCGGGGCGCGACGCCCCGGGAGGACTCGGGGTGGGGTCGTCGGGGCGCTCACGGGGCGGCGGGGGGCGCGCCCGACCATCTCTCCCTCTTCCCATCCCTGCCACCTCAGCGGATCCCCTCGACACTTACGGCGGCCGGGGGCCGCGGACGCGGCGGAGCTTGGCCGGCTGCGGAGACCGAGGCGGCGGCGGCGGCTGAGGGGAAGCCCCCGTCGCCGTGCTGTGGAAGGGAAGCCGTGGTGCCGCGGGGAGGGGACCCGTCTGGCGGAGTGCAGGCTTAGGCGGCGAGGGTAGGGCAAGCCAACAGACCCCGCCCCGGAGGCTGGACGAAGGAGGAGCCTCGGCTGCGGCGAGCGGAGAGGCGGGCCAGAGGACGAGCGCCAAGCTGCCGAGGAGCCGCCAACCGCCTCTAGTATCAGGACAGTTGCCGGCGACAGCGAGAAAGCTGATTGGTCAAATCGTCACAAGGAGGCGTGACGGGGGCCGGAAGTATGGCCACGTGACCCGGAAGCGGCTTCGACTGTGATGAGCGCGCCTGCGTACTTCTCCCGGTGCCGCCGGGACGCGGCCCGCGCGGCTGTCCTGGCTTCGCTGGTGGCGGGAGGATGGGGTTCTGCGGCGCCCTTAGCTGACCCCGTGGTGCAGGCTAAGGATGGTCCGCACTGCAAGGAGCTGACTTCGCGCTCCAATGACTCTCTGGGTCCCCAGAGGGTTGGACGGGGAGGTGTGACAATCGGTGATGATGGTGGGAAGAAAGACAGGAGTGCTGCAACTCTGGGGAAAACAAGTCAGCGCTTTCGTGGTGCTCGTGCCCGCGTTGGCAGGGAGGCCCCTCCTTTCCAACGCACTGCTACAGCCCTAGCTAGCCCAGACACTTCTCGCTCCAAGCTTTGCCAGAGCTTCTCTGCCGGGCTTGCTTCACTCAGCAGTGCGGCGGACTGGATGAGACGCGTCCGCTCTCGGCTGCAAAAGCCCAGACAGCGCTTAGTCCTCCAGATCCCGCTTCCTTCTCACGGTCTCGCCCCCCACTTCCCCCCGCCCGGGTTCCAGTTGTAGCCTTGCTGACGACTCGCTCTTCTTGGCATGTCCTTCCTCTAATGTCACATCTATGAAGCCTCACCCCAAAGCCCCGGAACAACGAATCCCTCTTTTACCCACATGCTTCTGTTTAGCGCATCATGGATTTTATTCGTTTAACAACCTAGTTCCTTGCCTGGTCTTTAACACTACTGATAAATGTGAGTTGTTTAATCAAATTATAAAATGATGATAGACTGGTTAAAGGCTGAAATGTTGATTTAGTTCTGGGCATACAATGGATGTCCATGTTTTATTCGAATGATAGAATGGATGAATCATCTAGTTCAACTGATCTTTTATAGATAGGGGGAGTGGAGACCCATAGGATTAGGTGACCTTGCTTGGACAGCCATGGATTTCCCATGTCAAATGCCATTCATTACTCCAGTCACCTCCGTTCCTATAAAGAAAGCCAAAAGAGCATTTGTTGGGCCATGCCTTCCCTTGCAGAGGTTACTAAACACACATTTTAAATTAACCAATGTAAGAAAAAGATGCTACATTTTAAACGAAGCTGTATTTATTCAATTTAAAGAAATCCCTTATTAGAGATTAATGTTCATTTTTATGTCTTACAGTGTCAATGTAAGGATCATATATGATAGGAATTGAGGTCATTTTATGATGCCTTTGTTTAGAAAATAAAACTAGAATATCTTTCCCTTTCAGCAATACTATGCTGCTTGGAAAGTTTCCTACTAACGTGTGTGTGATTGATATATACTGGAATATTAAAGTGGCCAACAGAAAGCAGAATTGGCTTTTGGTAGATCTTTAGGCCCCCTGCCCAAATTTCTCTGTTTCCTGTCCAAACATGCCCCTGAAATGCCAATGTCCTTTTTCTCCCTTAATACAGGAAACAGATGTCATTAGCCAGTTTAAAGATATCACCAAAACTACACAATAAAAACCTGCCCTCTAATTTCAGACACTGCCTTTTCTTTTTGTGTACAAAAACGTGTATGTCCTCAAGGTTCCTGAGATAGCCACCTCCCAAGTTTAAACTCATTGGATATGTTACTAATGTTGCTTGGTACCTCTGGAAATGATGGGAGACTTGCTAATGACATATTGGCAGTCTCATCACTGTGTTCCTAGCCAAAAAAGAAAAAAAGGGAAAAAGAAAAAAGATGGGAAGGGCTGGGGGTAGAGAAGGAATTATGGGAAAATAATTAGCAGCTGAAAGCAGCTATTACATAATCTTGGCTGCTTATTAATTTAGCAGAAGGAATGGCTTATTAAATTCTAATAGCAACAGCAAAACTGCAAACAACCTACAATTAACAGAGCAGGGCCCATTATTTTGTTAATACGTTCTCTTCCTTTGGCAAGTATATGAGAACAAAATTTATAGAAGCAGATGGTCTTTTTCAGTAGATTATAGACGGTTTATTCCCGAGCCTTAGTACTAAGTGCTAATCATGCATTCACTGTGAAAGACAAAAAGAAACACGGCTGCCATCTTTGTTAGTAATTAACTAGCTTGACTTTGATTTCCACATTTCTCCAATTGTAGGCTTTGTTGTATCCATGTTTCTTCTGACCTAATATCTTTTTCATCTGTCATGCCAATACATTATCTTTTTTATTCCTTTGTCTTTGTTTGCAGGATGATCCTGCCTTATGTTAGCAATACAGAAATTATGTGGGAAAAATTAATAGCCAGAATTTGCACTTGTTTGTTACATTTAAAAAAGTGCCTTGCTGTCATGTATGCTAACTACAAGATGTGAGGGTAAAATAGAGATTCTATATTTTAGCAATAAAATTTGGATACTCTATTATCTAAAGTTTTAAAAAATAATTTTAGTTTCCTGTTAAATTTGTGATAGCAATGCATTTTATGCCTGCTCCATATCAAAATATGACTAAATGAAAAGGGGAAGAGGGGCAATGTTTAAAACATGCCCATATGGTGCTGGAGAGACAGCTGATTCGTTAAGAACACTGGCTGCTATTGCCGAAGACTCAAGTTCAGTTCCCAGCACCCACATGACAGTTCATAACTGTAACTTTAGTTCCCAGGGGTCTGACACCCTCTTCTGGCCTCTCTGGAAACAAGGCACAAAGGGATAAACAGATAAGCATGTAGACAACACACACACACACACACACACACACACACACACACACACACACACAATTAAAATAAAAGTTACTTTAAAAAATAACTAAAACATGCCCACATGGATGATGAGAAGGATCATTTACATGAGAAGGTCAATAAGGATATTAAGATACACTATCAACATATCGTTTAAATACTGATGATTTAAATAAAAAGTCAACAAATTGAAAATATGGAATATTCATGTAGAAGTAAGGAGAGGTTACAGTAATGGTGAAGTAAATGCATCTGAAATAAACCCAGAAGTTGAATTATTAGCTTGTTTCTTCCATTCCAGGAAGCAAACTCCAGAAATAATGGTGAATTTCCATGGATAGACATTTGGGGTAGAATGTAACAAGAGGGATTAATAGATTTTATTTCAGTTTTTAAATAATTTAAGTATTATCATGGAGTAGTAGTATGGACTCCTACAGAGTTCCTTTAGTCAGCTTTTAGATTACTTTTACACACTAGTATAATTCAGTATACAAGTTATATGCAAAAATGATGCTTAGAGTTTATAAATTTGCATATCCCATGATAAAGTTGTCCCAAGGAGAAAATGGACCTAAAATGATGAGAATTTGTAAACTGGATCCTTTTTTTTCCTTTTTTTTTTTTTCCTTTTTTTTTTTTTTTTTTT